GTGCATGTGCTGCTCTCACTCTGCAGTTGGGTATCATGGTAAGCCTTGCTTGAGCCAAGTAGGATCAGAAGCAGCTTTGGTGCTCCTCGAAGTCAGCACAATGAAAAAGCCGTCTACATGCAAGCCTGCAGGAAGATCGATTCTCCTTTAGAGTCTATGAGGGAAAGGATACCATCATTCTTGAGAAGTCATCTGCCCTTCCATAAATTACACCTAATGTGGACCTGAACTCAGACAACATATGCTAAGGTTAAAGCAATTCTAAAGGTTCTTTTTTTTTTTTTTTGGGGGGGGGGGGGGTGGAATAACAAACATGCTATACTTACCTACTGTGTGCAGTGGTCTTGCACAGAGCAGCCTGGATCCTCCTCTTCTTGGGTCCCCCACAGACTGTCCTGGCCCCTCGCTCCTGTTGGGTGCCCCCACAGCAAGCAGCTTGTTATGGGGACACTCGTTGCTCTTTGTGTCCATTTACACACAGAGCTGTGGCTTGGCCCCTCCCCCTCTCACCTAATTGGCTGACTGGTTGTGATTGACAGCAGTGGGAGCCAATGGCTCCTGCTTGCTGTCTCAGCCAATGAGGAGGCAGAGACCCAGGATAGCTGAGGCTGTTGTTCGCAGGACAGGAGGCTCAGATAAGTATTGAGGAGGCTGGGGGCACTGCACACAGAAGGTTTTATACCTTCATGCATAGAATGCATGAAGGTAAAAAAAAACCTTGAGCCTTCACAACCACTTTAAAGTGTTACTAAACCCAAGACCCTGGGTTCAATATATCTGTTTTCCCACAGTACACAGAACATGGAAATGCAGGCAGGATGGTGTTCTTAGCTGAGAAAACCCTTCCACCCTGTCAGAAGACTCCTGGGATATATGATATCATTTGCCTAGGCAAGAAACCAGGAAGTAACTATAGAAACGTAAAAAAAAGAGTTTAAACAAGTAAATATGATATGCTTTACTATCTATTTACTAATGCCTACAGCATTAGTAAATGTTGATTGAGAGTGAAGTTCCACTTTAATATTTATATTTTAGTGGTTGAGTTTAAGGCTACTTGCACACTGATCCGCCGCAAAAACACGTAGAAAGTGTGGTAAAAGCGAGGTAAAATCGTCTGAGCATTTTTAAAGGACACGTGACTAAAGCTGCTTTCACACTGATCCGCTGCAAAATACATAGGTATTTTAACCGCGTTCATACCGTGCTTTTGCCACACGTTCTGCGCATTTTTTAAAGGACGCAACTTAAAAACGCCCCAAAACACTTCTCAGAGGCGTTTTTGACGTGCTTTTCAGATGTTTTCTATTGATTTCAATGGGAAGAGGCATTTTTGGAGTGTTTTCTTTCAACTCCCCAAACATGCCCCAAAGATGCTACAAGCAGGAGTTTTTACACTGCACTGAAAGTGCAATGCCCCAGTGTGAAAACATACATAGATATACATTCACGTACATAGGGAAGTCAATTACTTTGATCTTTTCAGGCGCTATTTCTAACACAAAAAAACGCTTGAAAACTCCTTAGTGTGAAAGCAGCCTTAAAAACTGCACCAAAAATGCTTCTCAGAGGCATTTTTGAGGTGCGTTTTAAGCGTTTTTCAGGCATTTCCATTGATTTCAATGGGAAGAGGCGTTTTGGGCTTTTTTTTTTTTTTTTTTTTTTAATTCCTAAACATGCCCCAAAGATGCTGCATGCAGGAGTTTTTAGGCTACTTTCACACTGATCCGCCGTAAAACGCATACGCATTTTTACCACCCTTTTGCCGCGCTTTCTGAGCCTTTTTAATTGACACGTGACTTAAAAACTGCTCCAAAGATGCTTCCCAGAGGAGTTTTTCAGGCGTTTTCCATTGATTTCAATGTGAAAAGATACGTAGATATACATTCACATACATAGGGAAGCGTTTTTCTTGAGCTTTTCAGGTGCTCTTTTTAACGCAAAAACGTTTCAAAAACTCCTCGTTGTGAAAGTAACTAATTCTACTTCAATTATTTTAGCGGAAACTTGGACTGGTAACTTATGGCCTATGCTGAGTGCGCTCCAGTTCTTCTAGCCAGCGGAGACCTGCAGATGCACATGCTTATCGTTTTCCTCATAGGCCTAACCCTGTTTCACATCTGTGGGTGGTGCGGCTACTAATCCTCACAAAATCAGTGCAGCCGCAGCACTTGCACAGAGGAATGCGGACTCGCAGGTGGGTGCCATTAATTCCAATGGCACGCCACCCGCACTGCAATCGTACTGGGAACCGAGGTTCCCGTGCGTGCTGCGTTTTCCGAACAAGTGCAGGGACTTCTTCCCTGCGTGTCCCTGGGCACAGGAGTCCATTCAAATAAAAGGGCTCTCGTGTTCGTGCAAAACGCAGCCCGCAGGAATGCGGAGATGTGAACCTAGCTTTAACCCCCCCTGGCAGTATTCCCGAGTGTAGCTCGGGGTAAATTTTCAGTACCAAAAGCAGTAAAAGCAGTACACTTGCGCTTACCATGCGGCGTTGCTCAGGGATTTCCTGCAGCACTTACCTTGTCCTTCGCTCCCACGATGCATCCCCTGCAGCGTCCCCGGCCATCTCCGGCCGATGCCAGCATCCGTCTTCCGTGTTCCAGTCCCCGTCAGAGTCGGGACGTATGGGGGCCGGAACCGGCAGCAAATTTAAACATTTTTAGAAACTGTCATTTTCTAATAAACAAATTTGACATAGTAAAACATTACTGTATTAAACCATTTCACATACATTTTGTCCCTAGTGCTTTGTCCTGTGCCCTGCCTACATTTTTACCGTTCTTTCTGCCTTGAAACTGAGAAGCGTCCAAAAAGCGTCCCTTTAGGTCAAAAGCGGTTTTAGACCGGCTAGAGAACAGCGATAGTAAATCAGAACCACTTGCAGAATTGAGTGATAATGATTTGTGGGGAAATTCGTCATCAGACACTGAAAACAATTTTGCGACTTTGCTCATCAATGTGCCAACTTTGCGCTCTATTTCAAATTTCAGTGTTTTTGGTTTGATTATATTATTGAATAAAATTTATTATTATTATTTTTATGATTATTTATTAAATTATAATTTATGATTTTGTGTTTCAAGTTTTATCATATCCGGAATGTTTACTAGACTCTTGTTCGGACAGATTAAAGTGAGTTATTCCTAAAAATTACAGGCCTACAATAAAAAAATACATATTTCCATGCAAAAAAATGTACCGCTTTGAGCACAGAAATATGGACATAATCAGACCGCTAGGGAGGTTAAAGGAGAATCCATCTTTCTGTAGGCTTCTTCATAGCTGTGCTGAACTTGAGGTATGTTGTCATGAGGTCCGGTAGAGCAACTTCATTTCATGTGATTTCATTAATATATTTTTTACATTTAAAATGATTGTAAATTATCATCTTGTAAAACAACCCATTCACTTTAATAAAGAACTGAAAGGCAAAACATTTATGTATAGATATAAAAAAACAACATAACTACACTTTTCCCTGTTGTTTTTTTGTAAGTGATCACATACTCTGTTCTCAGCTGCATAAGATCAAGGGAGGAGAAACAGCATCACACTGATCCTCCCAGTGAATGACTGTGCGTTGGGGGGGGGGGGGGTGACAAGACAAGTGTGATCATTGGAGGAAAGCAGATGAGAACTGACCACACTGTGCTCTCCTGTCTAGTGTGGTCTGTTTTTAATAGGAAAGCAGGGAGACTGGCAGGAACACCAGGGATTGCACACAAAGGAAGCAATGCAAAGTGAACAGGATACTTTTTCATACAAGTGTATGGTACAGCAGGCACATATAAGGAATATCAAATATTGGGTTTACATACTACAGATCAAACTGACCAGCACATATTTTTTTTTTTCACGAAACAAATGTAAACCATGTGAATAAAATACAAACGCATTACGCACCCCTAGCAATGTCATAGCTTGTCTGCACATGGTCTGGTCATGCAGTTTGTGGTGTATCATAATTCAAATAATTTGTGGTGATGACCCCTTCCAGAATCACAAGAAAAAACATTGTTTGAAAATTCCGTTTAATCTTCAGTAGGCCTTTGACATTTTCTTCATTGGTCAACTTCCTGTGAAAAGAGACATGTGAAAAATGTAGACGTTACAGTTAGTTCTGATCTTCAGCATAGCTGTTCCCTGTGGTTATGGGATAAAAAAAAAATCTATGCATGGCAGTTTTATCATTCTTGGAATCTTGCAATGGAATGGACATTTATGATCATGAAATAAGCTAACATAACCTCTAGTCCCCCCATAGTGATCCACCAAGATGAATGCAGTTATTTTAATCACAATGAGCTCCAGTTTCGAAGCTGTTTTTGGCTTTTGACATTTTTTTTTTTTGTTTACAGCTAGTAAACCCCCCAGCATGTTATCCTATGTGTCCATGCACACACAGACTGTAATCAGCATTTTTTGGCTGGAAAAAAACCCCTAGGACTAGTGGGTTTCTAGAAGAGTTTTTTTTTTTTTAGCTGTAAAAATGCTCTAACGCCGAAAACTGGTGTTTTTGGAAAATTTTTTGATCAAAAAAAAAATAATTTTTTTTTTGGTAAAAGAAACCCGGTAAAAATGCAAACGTGGGAAAATGCAGCTAAACGCTAATAAAAGCTGAAAAACTCAGGTTTTTAACGTGACTTTACACAGCTAACGTTACCAGCGTTAGCAAAACGTCCCGTGTGGGTATAGGACAGTGTTTCTCATCCTTTTTTCAGTCAAGGCACCCTTTAAAATTATGGACAGTCCTGAGGCACCCTTTAAAATTATGGACAGTCCTGGGGCACACTTTAAAATTATGGACAGTCCTGAGGCACCCTTTAAAATTATGGACAGTTTTTAGGCACCCTTTAAAATTATGGACAGTCCTGAGGCACCCTCTAAAATTATGGACAGTCCTGAGGCACCCTTTAAAATTATGGACAGTCCTGAGGCACCATTTTAAAATTATGGACAGTCCTGAGGCACCATTTAAAATTATGGACAGTCCTGAGGCACCCTTTAAAATTATGGACAGTCCTGAGGCACCCTTTAAAATTATGGACAGTCCTGAGGCACCCTTTAAAATTATGGACAGTCCTGAGGCACCCTTTAAAATTATGGACAGTCCTGAGGCACCCTTTAAAATTATGGACAGTCCTGAGGCACCCTTTAAAATTATGGACAGTCCTGAGGCACCCTTTAAAATTATGGACAGTCCTGAGGCACCCTTTAAAATTATGGACAGTCCTGAGGCACCCCTTTAAAATCATGGACAGTCCTGAGGCACCCTTTAAAATCATGGACAGTCCTGAGGCACCCTTTAAAATCATGGACAGTCCTGAGGCACCCTTTAAAATCATGGACAGTCCTGAGGCACCCTTTAAAATCATGGACAGTCCTGAGGCACCCTTTAAAATCATGGACAGTCCTGAGGCACCCTTTAAAATCATGGACAGTCCTGAGGCACCCTTTAAAATCATGGACAGTCCTGAGGCACCCTTTAAAATCATGGACAGTCCTGAGGCACCCTTTAAAATCATGGACAGTCCTGAGGCACCCTTTAAAATCATGGACAGTCCTGAGGCACCCTTTAAAATCATGGACAGTCCTGAGGCACCCTTTAAAATCATGGACAGTCCTGAGGCACCCTTTAAAATCATGGACAGTCCTGAGGCACCCTTTAAAATCATGGACAGTCCTGAGGCACCCTTTAAAATCATGGACAGTCCTGAGGCACCCTTTAAAATCATGGACAGTCCTGAGGCACCCCTTTAAAATCATGGACAGTCCTGAGGCACCCTTTAAAATCATGGACAGTCCTGAGGCACCCTTTTGCAAAATCATGGACAGTCCTGAGGTTTTCACCCTTTAAAAATCATTACAGTCCTGAGGCACCCTTTAAAATCATGGGGGGTCACAGTCCTGAGGCACCATCCTTTAAAATCATGGACAGTCCTGAGGCACCCTTTAAAATCATGGACAGTCCTGAGGCACCCTTTAAAAATCATGGACAGTCCTGAGGCACCCTTTAAAATCATGGACAGTCCTGAGGCACCCTTTAAAATCAAGGACAGTCCTGAGGCACTTTTTAAAATCATGACAGTCCTGAGGCACTTTTTAAAATCATGGACAGTCCTGAGGCACCCTTTAAAATCATGGACACTCCTGAGGCACCCATTTAAAATTATGGACAGTCCTGAGGCACAGGCCTTTAAAATTATGGACAGTCCTGAGGCAATTTTTAAAATTATTAACAGTCCTGAACAGCACCCTTTAAAATTATGGACAGTCCTGAGGCACCCTTTAAAATCATGGACAGTCCTGAGGCACCCTTTAAAATCATGGACAGTCCTGAGGCACCCTTTAAAATCATGGACAGTCCTGAGGCACCCTTTAAAAATCATGGACAGTCCTGAGGCACTTTTTAAAATTATGGATTTAAAAAATAATGAGGCACCCCTCTCTAAAATGAGAAAAAATATTATAATAGTTTTATATAACGCGACATCCAACATTAGAGGTGATTCATTCTTTCTTCAAATCAAAGAAAATACACTTTTGCACACTGGTACCACGACTAGTATGGATGGAGAAGGGCAGGGGAGGGTCAAACTAGGATCCTGTGCAGGTAGCTGACATCATCCTTGTCAACTGATGTTATTGGTTGTTAGGATGCCAGCGGTTAGAAGGCCTTAATGGTGCACAATGAAAACTTGTGGCTTTGGGTAACTAAAAGGCAGGCTTGTTCCACCCGCTGACTTGTATACAAATTTTGGGATATTTTTAGACATTTTGCCAAGGTAATTCACCCTGGTTGAGAAAGGCTGGTATAGAACATGTATGGTAGATAGGACTTGCTTATGAGTAAAACCACCATTATGGATCGGTCTATGGGATAACGAATTCCCTTTTAGTTTATAGAAGTGTAAAAACCTCATCTTTATATCACATGTATTGGTTTTTATTTTTTTGTCACAGGCCTTTCATAAGCCAATGTTGTGACAAGTAAATTGGCAATTTAGCCATTTGCTTGAAGGTCTGTTAATCAGCTTGAACAGCTCAGCCCGGGACAAAGATTACACTGGGATTCTGTTCTCTTTTCTCTCTTTGGCCTTTATACACACGTATCATGTTTTGGATTTATTAAAAGTAGTACTAAGGCCTCATGTTTTTGTCTAGGAGAAGACCGTTACTGCTTGTTGAAAAAGAAGCCCTGAAACCTGGAGGCTGGGTTTCACACTGATGCAATGCGGAATTCGCAGCATTTTCAGTGTGAATTCTGCACCGCATCAGAATCGCACCCCGTAAATGCGAACTGCTGCAGATGTGTATGTTAAGTTAAGAACACCCCGAAAGTGGTCTGCAAAACACGGTGCGATGTGCAGAATTGGGTCGCATAGGTGTGAATACTCATGCGATACGATTCTAGTACGGACCCAAAAAAGGGTCCTGCACCTTTTTGGTGAGGATGCAGTGTGATTGGAGCCATACATAATGTATGGCTCCAATCGCATCGCTCATAAATCGCATGTGATTTTCACAGAAATGCGGTGTGGTTCCTGTGCGAATCACATGCAATGTACCGCACCGCATTATTGTGAACCTAGCCTTAGGCTCCATGCACACGGGGCATTTTAATAATGCTGGTAACATTAGCTGTGTAAAGTCTCATTAAAAACGTGAGTTTTTCAGCGTTTTTGCATTAGCGGTTAGCTGCGTTTTGACACTTTTGCGTTTTTACCAAAAAGGGTTTTTTTTTCTTTTGGACAAAAAATGTCCAAAAACGCTGATTTTCCGCATTTTACCACGTTTTGCTGCGTTTTTCAGTGTTAGATCATTTTTATAGCTAAAAAACTCCTCTAGAAACCCACTAGTCCTGGGTTTTTTTTTCAAGCCAAAAAACGCCCCTGCCAAAAAACATGGATTACAGTCTATGTGTGCATGGACACCTAGGATAACATGCTGGGGGGTTTACTGGCTGTAGAAAAAAAATGTCAAAATCCAAAAACATCTGCTGTAAAAACGTCCAGTGTGCATGAGGACTCGCAATTGGAATGGGATAGCTTTAGGCAGTAACAGGTCCCCTTTATGGAGACATTAGGGGTCTAATACACTGTTTTCAAAGAATATTTGCTAGCTTTTATACCTAGGTCATGTCCAGTATTGCTGTACAATGCCTCTACATCCCTAGTGCCCAGCCTGCGGGCCGAGGGCTGCATGCGGCCCTCAGCAGTCTGTAGTGGGAACATTGATTAGGGTAATGGCATTGATCTCTACTAGCCTCATGTAACATGTTACCAGTTTCATATTGTCTTCTGTAGCAAATCGCCAGCCAAAAAATCTATCATGTTCACACTCTCTGACCCTTATTTCCTCTATTAGGTCTGCAGTTTTTGACCGTCCTCTCAAGCATTCCATATACTGAACATGTATAGCCCTTTGGTGATGTCAGGGGCTGCATTTGAAGCCCCTTTTAGCTTATAAGTTGACAACCACTGCTCTACATTGAGAATAGCAAGTAGTAGGTCCTTTGAAACCGTACGATTGTGCAAAATGACAAAATCTCTTTTATCTTCAGTATATGAAGACAAGGTTTGTACAAATGGTCTCACCGTGTTCCTAAACCCACAATATAAAATCAGTCTGTATATGCAGTAAAGCATGCTTCTTATACTCACTGTGAAACCTAAGGGGTTAATCCTCTGCATTGTGTATAAAGGCTGTTTGATCCTGTCTTCTCTGTTCCTCCCCTTCTTCCATAGTCCCCAATCCATCTGCTGATAGTACAGAACCCTAGGAGGTACTCTGCACATGCTCAGTTTGGTGTGTAATGCTAGAGCTTTTTTTTTTCTTTTTGGAAGGGTGCATGTGGTTAGCACAGGGCCAATCATCACTGTCCAGACAGAGGGTTAGGGGTCATGCAGCCTCACAGAACAGTCAGAGGAGAATTGAAAACTCCTCCTACAAGATTAACCAGTGCTCAGCAAGACACTGATAGAAAGCACAAGTATTACTATATACTGCTGATGAGAAAAGGTATTTATTATTATTATACAGTATTTATAAAGCGCCAACAGTTCGCTCTGCGCTGTACATTACAATGGGAGACAGTACATGTGACAGTACAATAACAATACAATGTAATATACGAGGGGTTTGAGGGCCCTGCTTCTTGGAGCTTACAATCTAGGAGGGAGGGGATAGTGGTACAGGAGGAGATAGCTGTGGGGGAATGGAGTGGTAGGAAGAGTGAAGGAGGTCAGCAATTAGCAGGGGGTGGGGTAGGCTTCTCTGAAGAGATGGGTTTTTAGGGTGCGCCTAAAGGAGAGAAGAGTAGGTTATAGTCTGATGGAATGGGGTAGGGAGTTCCAGAGGATGGGTGATGCCCAGGAGAAGTCCTGGAGGCGGGTATGGGAGGAGGAGACCAGGGAACTAGAGAGAGGAGGTCTTGTGAGGAGCGGAGAGTGCATGTTATAAATATAAACTACATTTAGCAGTTTATATTTACTAAAATAGTTGCAGTTCCCTGTTCTGTGTACTGTGGGAGAGCAGATATAGTGAATGCAGGGTCCTGGGTTTAGTGACCCTTTAACCTGTTGGGGCTGATGGTACCCAAATAGGTGGCCTCTCAGCAGCTGGGCATTGAAGCTGAAATGGCGTATATTTGCGTACCCAAAGTAAACAAACATGTGCCAAGAGTGCACGCTCTGGACACATTTACGGCGCCTTGTGGAAAGGTCCCAACTGCTACTTGCGACTGTACCTTTCTGATCACGTGATCGATGTGACAGCCAAAAACAGCGGTCACATGACCCTAAATCCCACCTCCTGGATTTGCAAACCCATTAAAGGGCCGGGAGGCCACGGTGCCAGGGCGTTAACACTGCATCAGCATATTTACTAGCTCTCTGTTGGGTTTCAAATCCCTGAGACTATCAGATGACCAGGTGGATTTAACTGATGATGTGTTTTTGGACAAAGAATAAAAAGTTGCTGTACAGTAGTAGGATTTCTATGTATTATTTACTGTAATTCTTCTTTTGACACCAGTTCAAGCTCCATGGCTTCCCTCATGTTCCTGTAAATGTGTTGGTTGGAGTCCTTATCAGTATTTGTACTATTTAAAGTGTATCTACACCCTAAACCAAAAATGTGATATGATGCCTTTTGCCAGTCCTTAGATGTGGTGGTTGCGTTCGTTTTTCTCTTTTCATTTTTTCTTTTCCATGCCAGTAATACACTTTCTCTCTAGGGTGACCATACTCAGTGCACTATAACTATGAAGGTTTTTTTTTTTAATAAAGCAAAGAATGAAAACATTTTAATGTACTAAGCAGGAACTACAAAAGCAACATAGATCTTCAAGGATGGCTCCTGCTCTGTATAAACCAGTTCATGTGTTTATGCATTTCCTGACTCGTTTTGTTGAGTGGAGAATGCCTCTTCCTCCTATCTGACAGCAAGGTCAGGAATGTCTGTGACATGGACCAATGAAGGGAGGATGTATACATAGTATGCATACTTCTGTTTGCATTTTATATAAACGTCCCAGTTGTGAAGACACAGTTATGTTAAGTGAAATTACACTTGGCTTTTCCTTGTTCTAATAGGGATTGCTCACTTTATGATACTGGAACTGTGATTGGAAGTTCTAAAGATTGACATGGGCTACTTGAGCAGAATCCTAGAAATGTCTGTTGTCCGTACAAAGTTATATGAAGTTTACACTTTGTAGGTCATGATTGAGCTTGGGTTCACACCGATGCAGGGCGGAATTCGCATATTGTGTTTGAAACACCAATACGCAAATACTGTGTGACATAAAATATTGAAACACCCACCAATTTATTCTCTAGGGCCTCTGCTTTAGAAATATATATAATGTTTCTAAGTAATTTTTTAGCAATAAATAAAAAAAAAAAACCTTAAGAGTTGAAGTTGCCATAAAGCTCCTTTTCGTTTTTAAAATACTAACAACTTACAAAGCCTTTCACAACTCTGCCCCCAGCTACATCACCAACCTGGTCTCAAAATATCTACCAAACCACTGTCTTCGATCCTCCCAAGACCACCTCCTCCCTAGTTCCCATTTCACCTCCTCCCTAGTACCCATGTAACCTCCTCCCATGCTTGCCTCTAGGACTTCTCCTGAGCTTCTCCCATCCTATGGAACTCCCTACCCCAATCTTTCTGGCTATCTCCTAATCTATCCACCTTTAGACTGTCCCTGAAAACCTTTCTCTTTAAAGAAGCCTATCCTGCTTCTAACTAATAAAATTCCTTTTTATTTTCTCTTTTTATCAGCTCATCATCCTCCCACAGCTATTACCTTTTTGTATCACTCAAGCCTTCCTCCTAGATTGTAAGCCCTCTGTTTCCTCTTGTACCAAATTGTATTGTAACTGTAATGTCTACCTTCATTTTGTAAAGCACTGTGCAAATTGTTGGAGCTTTATAAATCCTGTATA